TTTGGTCAATTCATTGACTATTAGCTCACTATGGAACAAAAGAGGCAAAACCATCAAATAACTCAATTTTACCATGTGCCTATGAGTACCAGTAAGATTCTGAAGGGGAAAAGGATAAATTTAATGACAAAACTGGGCCACTCAAATTAACTGTGCCTTTCAAACACCAAGTTCCTGTCCCATTATTGTATAACTGGCTACTTCTAGGGTGCTAAATGACTACTATTAAAGGTAAAAGGAAGAAAAATGAATCTATTTATCAGCAGCAGCTAAATCACCTATAGAGAGAAAAGGACTTGGCCTCAGACAAAATGTTGAGAATTAAAGATTTGCATTTTACACTTTTGGTTTGAAGTTTAAAATGAAGCTTCTGAACTGACCCCATCTGACAAACAATATATTTTAGTCTACCAGGAAGAGTGTCCAGGGCACAGACCATTTACTGTAAGATACAAAGAATACGTAAGAAACTGCCTCCATCAAAAGCCAAGCAATATATGTCATGGACATTTCCTTGCCAAAGATGGATAGATAAGCACACAACAGAAGGAAAAACACTCAGCTGCACTCTGAGGCAGGCCCAACCCTTTCCCACAGTAAATTCTTTGTATATACACATCAAAAACAGATCTAACAATCCATTAGGAAAAACCAAGGTCAGTGTGCTGCCTTGACCAGAACTGGCAGGGGCAGGAGGGCTGCTCTACACGTGAGGTCTTGACAAAACTTGTCTTCCACATGACCAGGGGGCTCCTTAGCCAGACACACCCCCAAGGGGCAAGGGCAGGAAAGAACAGTCTTGCTGGTGCCATTTCTAGGGTAGTATGCACCAGCAGGCAGAGAAGAGGGAACAACAGCCTACCTTCCCTCAGCTCCTTGGCCAACTTCTTTGAATGCAGGTTTGAGGAAAGATGGCATGGTCAGAACCATGATTTCATTATCAGCCATAGCAGGATACTTACACATACTGTGGAACTTCATCTAAAACAACTCATGGCTCTGTGCCCCCTACCCCATCTTGCCTTGACAAGTGACAGCCTCCTTGCCACTGTGAGTTGTCACACCTCTTGCATCAATCATTTAGATGTGTTTGTCCCTCTTCTGGACAATGGCCAGTGCAGGTACCCAGCATTTGCTGTGGGGCTCAGAGAGCCAGAGGACAGACAAGGCTTGCCCTCTACTCTAAAAGCAGTAACAGGACTGTCAGTGCCAGGGAACCACTATCTCAAAAGCTGTACAAGGAAAAGGAAAGAGCACCAGCATAGGAGTTAGGAGATCTCTGGCCCTAGGTGAGTCCCTTAACCCCAGACTGACTCTTCATTACTAAAAGTGATAACCTTTGCCCTCTCTACCCCAAGGAGCTGGAGCTTGGGCAGCAGTGGGTCAGATGATGGGAAAAGAGTTTTATAAAGTGTATGAGTTAATAATAAAAGTAACTGTAAAATCAACTTCATCATCATTATCACCATCTCGACTCTAATGAGGTCACTCTTCTGTTACCTCCTAGGGAAAAAGGGAGCAAGCTTTTCTTCCTCAGGGATGAAGGAAAAATGGAACTGTTTATACATAGCTTTTGCTTATCAGACTTACAAATTAGTCCCTTGGGGCACACAAGAGTTCTGCAATCTAACCACGCTTTCTAGGGTGATATTCTGGGGAGAAAGAGAATCTGGAGCAACTTGTGTAATTCGATTTGGCTTCAGTTAGTGCAAGAGGAAATCTATTATTTAATAAAGAAAGAAAAAAAAAAAACATTTGGTCTTAGAGATTGTTGATACAGTCTGCACACAATCTGACAGAAAATTCTTTAAAAGGGCTTTCCTTCGTTTTTCCCAGGGGGAGCACAACAGCACAATCATGGACACAAACACAAAACACAGAGGCTTCCATGTTTCTGCTTCGATTTATAGATAAGAAAGTGTTGCCCAGAGGGGAAGGATTTGCTCAAGACCATGGAGGAGGTGGAAGTAAGCCCTGGCTCTGCCTCACAGGCTTCCCATCTCCCAAGGCCCACAGGAGACAATGAGCAACAGCTCGTGCTGCCTCAGCCCACCAACACCCGCAAGGCTTCTCTTCTGGTGGGCTGCACTGGTCAGGGAGGGCTCAGGGTGCAGGGGACCTGTCCTGGCCTCGACATTGAGGACCAAAAGCTAAAAGGGCCACCTGCTGTGGTCAATTTGCCCAACTGTGTCAACAGGCAAGAGAGACAGCAGAATGTAGCAGTCACAGACTGTGCCTTCTCCTACAGGATAGCTGTTTTACTACCGCAGCTGCAGTTATCTCCCCTGGAACCTGTCTCCTTCCTCTACAGTGGCCTCATGTCCAGCTGTCTGGCTGCACTCACACCCAGACCTGTCCCTGTCAAAATTCAACCTGCAAATCTACCACTTACCCTTCACATCAGCTCTAGGACTGGCTTGTTGCCCTGCTGCCAAGGTCTGTGAGGCTTCCTTGGTCCCAGCTAACAAGATCTGCCAAAGTTCCCCAGCCACTCCACTCAGGGAGAGACAAGTGAGTCACACCCATTTAGGACTCTTGGCCCCACTGTTCTGTGAAGCGTAAAGCCAGCAATCTCCATATAATTAAAAGTGTAGCCTGATCCCAGCTCTTCCGATGAACCACTCTAGCTTATACTATGAAAGAGAGGAAAGAGGCGGCCCTGGGGCTCTGAAACAGTGTAGCCCAGCTCAGGTTGGACTGCCAGCACCCACTCCTCTGATACTCACTAAGGGGGCTTGAGATTAATGCCTGACTGAGGGCCACCTTCAGGTACATGAAAGGAAGATTTCTATAGAGACCTTTTCTTTTTTTCTTTTTTTTTTTTTTTGGTACCAGGAATCAAATTCTGGACCTTGCACTTGCCAGGCAGGCGCTTGTGCCACTGAGCTATATCCCCGGCCCGTATAGACACCTTTTCTATAGCAGAAATTTTCTGTCTTTTCTCTTTACCACAATCCCATAGCAGTGGCTCTCAGCAGGGGCCGCTTGTAATATCTAGTGACATTTCTGGTTGTCAAGACTGGGAATTGCTATTGACACCTCATGGGAATAGGCCATGGATACCATGAACACCTAACAGTACACAGGACTACTCATAAGAACAGGGAATCCAGTCCCAAGGGTCAGTAGTGCTGCAACTGAGACCTCTGTATGAGACACTGGAACGCAGCAGACTGATTTGCTCTCCTCCTGGGGTGATGCCAGCAAACAGTGAAGTACCTGACTGAAATGCTGAAGGCAGGACCTGAGTAACCACAGACTCACTTACCAAAGGGAGTCACTTACTCCTGCTTTGGGCTCACTAAAAATATAAGAGATGGCAATGTGGCTATCCCAGAATAGACAGAGGGGTAGCAAGACTGTTCTCTGCTTCTGCCTCCCATTATAGGGCAGTCATGGAAAGGAGACATACACATTCAATAGCCCAAGGCAGCACCCACTGCTCTGAAAGCTGAGTCAGGAAAACCAAACTGCTCATATAGCAAATATGCCCTGAACTCCTCCCAGCCTGGGACTGTTAGCACTAGGGGCACAGATATATGACAGAGTGGCTGTCTCTGAGGAGCTCCTAGTCCAATGGGGACATCTAACAGTAAACGATCACCAAATACCACCCTTGGCTAGGCTGACCCAACTTCCATTTTCCTTTAACAGTCCTTCTGGGAAAGGCAAAAAACAATAAAGTGGAAAATAAAGCAGTGGTGTTGCACTGCTGATTAAAATCTATATTGCTATGGCAGCCCCTCTGAGACAGGATCAGCGCCTGGGTTTGCACCAGCTGGGCTTGTGCAGCTTGTAAATAATTAAAAGGTAATTGGAAGGGGAGACCAAAGTATTAAGTGGATTTCTCTCTCTCAGGGCAACCAGGGAGTTTTCATTGCTGCCAGTCACATTATCTTTCAGGATTATATTCTTGTTTTTTAGCTCCTCGCTGATAACTGCTGGTGGAGTAAACTAATTAAGGCTGCTGAAACTGCTTTAACAGGCTTGGAAACAGCTAGCACAGACTCAAAACTTTCCATTGTCTTTTTGTTAGTACAGCCCTGCTACCAAGAAGGCAACAGGCTTTGGAAGGTAAGGGAGGGAGGGAAAAGGAGAAAGAATGCTCAGAATATTTACCTGCTGGGGCTGCCATTACAGCTTAGGCTAGGACAGAGACAATTTCATTCTCTGTTCTCAATAAAGACACTGACACAGACCCCAAGGGAAGTGTGATCAGGCATCAACAGGGAGGAGGCTGGTGGGAGCAGCACTTCCTCCAGCTGTGTCCTGAGGGGGATGAAGGTGGAGCTACAGACTGGACAACTGAGGACCTTCTAAAGAGGCTAGGGTTGGCTGGTGAACCCACTGCCAGGACAGGATGTCAAGCCAGGAAGTTTAGTCCCTCAGCTCTATACTCAGTCACACCAGAATCTAGGGTGGTGATGGCTACAGGTGGCAGTGAGGGGACGGAGAGATGAGGAGGGCAGAGAATCAGGAAAGGGAATTATAAAGCAGATGCCACATACTCTACAGTTAAATTATACAAATGTTCCAGCCAAGTTAGTGGATGCAAAAATCAAAAAGCCAACAGACGAAAAGACAAAATGGCCTTTCTTTCCCATGGAATCATTTCACACTCCAAAATATACCTGGGGTCTCTACTCTTTCACCTACCTTTCTCAGTCTCTGTGAGACTAGACATACCAATATCAGCCTGGATGCTACTTTCAGTGGAGCCCAATGCAGTTACAAGGCTAACATAAAAGCATATTTGAATCTGAAATGATTCCAGACACCAGTTACTGAGAAGAGACACAAAAATAACGTAGGGCCAAATCGAAATGATCAATCCATTCATTTTTTTGCCAAAGTTTTCTCTACCCTCTTCAGTGTGGCTGTCATTATTCAGATAAATCCTGAATATCAATCAGCAGTAAATGCCCTTCATCCTGAGTATGGATAGCAATACTGGCACACAGGAGGCATCCAATAAATAAGGATAAGGAAAGCAAACTCACCCCTTTTCTGCATAAAGATGAAGAGGTCATCCAGGAACTCTTTCCTTTCAGGATCACTGTCTAGTTCATATAGCTGCAATACCCACCCCAAGGAGAAAACACAATGAAACGTTCCACTTTGGTACAGAAAGTCTTATACCACAGATACTACAGCCATAGGAATAAGGACAACCCACGGCAGAACTGCCCCTATCTTCCTCCCAAAGGATGTATCACAGACCTTGGCAAAATCTCGGGAGATCTCTCTTCCACGGCCTCCATCGGCATCATCACTCCAGGCCAAACCATTCTGCAGAAGAAGAAGACAGAAGGTTGAAAGGTGAATAAGGAAGAGAAGGAGCAGAGGACAGTGTAACCATCTGGAAGTTACGATGACTCCCAGCATTTATGCTAGGAGAGACTGGCAGATGACTACTCTTAGCCCCTTCCAGGAACATTTTTTTTTTTTTTTTTTGCTTTCAGTTAGGATTCCAAAATAAGGGGGAGTCAGGCAGAAGAATCATCTCTATTTCCCAAAGGATGAGCAGGTGTTACTCGTATTTAATACTACAAGAGGGGGCCCAGGCCCAGTGCCCTGAGAACCTCTAAGCCCCAGTTCATCTTCAGAGGCCATCACTCTGAGCTGTACCTTGCTGTGGGTGTGAAGATGCTATACCAGGTTTCTCGGCTGCCATAAGCGATGATAAAGGTCAAAGGCAGTAGGCAAAGATGCTGAAGTAGTCTCTCTGCCCCAAGTCTAGTAAAGAAAAGGCCTCACTGACATGAGGGCTACCACACCTAAGACTGCTCAGTCTCAAGGGATAGACCCAGTACCCCAGGGCAAGAGTTCATTTTCATTAGGGAAATAATGAAAACCTATGGCTGATTTAATTGATTAGGTTAAACCAACATCATTCACTGAACAGGACAAACATGTCTCCCTGTTATTTAATCTTGCTAGTTTAGAATTTAACAGAGTACTCTGGAATATTTTGTCATCCCCACCATCAGTAGAGCTCCTTGCTGGGCACATAATTAACGGGTTAGCTAAGCCAACTAAATACCTTTTCACAAAGCATAGAAATGCGTATGTCGAACTGGGGATATAGCTCAGTGGCATAAGCACCTGCCTGGCAAGGGTAAGGTCCTGAGTTTGATTCCCGGTACCAAAAAAAAAGAAATGCAAATGTCATGCAGGAGACTTGGTGGGGTGCATGGAAGCTCACAGTGTAACTCTGCTACTCATCCCTGATCCCTGCCCAGGCCAATGGAGGGCCCAGCGGATGCAAACAGAAGCCCTAGGCCTGTCATCCATGTCCCTCAGCTAGCTGGGGTGTGTAAGTGGTAGAGAAGAGGCAGCTGGGCTGGGAGAAACTAGGGGTTTCTTGGGAGACTATTCTTTGGATTGTGTAGCAATCTTGTTCTAAAACCACATCAAAACTGGGATTATACATCTGTAATCCCAACACTGTGAGAAGCTGAGACAGGTGGATCACAAGCTTGAGTCAAGCTCAAGCAATTTATTAACTCAGAGAGACCTTGTCTCAAAACAGAAAATAAAAAAAAAAATGTCTGGGGATATAGCTCAGTTGGAATCCCCAGTGTTTAATCCCCAGTACTGCAAGAATAAATTAATTTTTAAAATGTGCCAAATAAAATGAGAGCCTGGTAGAATTCCATTCTGCCCATGTCTCTCTTTAATCAATCAAGCTTGCCAGAAGGCATCATTAAGTTATATTTGGGGGCCACACCTCACTTTCTCTGATCAGTTTGAGTTCTGAGATGCAAACCCATTTCCTGATAGCAGCAATTCAGCAGACAGTGTGCAAATCTCAGAAAATGACACTCTGTCAGTTGAAACAAAACAGGCCACACCAGTGTCTCCCTGCTTATCTAGTAAAAGACTCACATAAGGAAGTGCTCAGTAAATCTGCTGGACAGTGTGCTCATCAGGTTTTCAGGCAGGCGCTGTTGGAACCCTTGCTATGGTGCCTTCAGCCCAGAAGCCTATAACCAAACTGGACGAATACTATGGTTTTAAAAGCTTCAACCCCATGTTGTAATTACAGTCACTAGAAATCTAGTGTCATCTGGTGGCAACTAGACAATGAATAATCAAGATGAACTATGCCTGTCAGGTCAGCAAAACCAGACAGAGTTACAGTCCCCTTTCAAAGGCTGCAGTAGCCTGCCCTAATGCCCAGTGATTTTGTTTGAGCCAGTAATTCCTGCTGGAAAGACAATTATCCCGGAGCCCCCCTCTCGCCTCTTGGCTAAAAGACATTTAATGGAAGATCATTGCTGCTTCTGTTATGTCAGTTGTTTACTGCAGCAGATCTGAGGCTGAGGTTGTTCACAAGAGGCTTCTTTCTCTGTTGGTCACTGCACAACAGTTTGGGGCTAATTATAGTAACTAGCAGGCATTCTGAAGGTTCACTCAGAAACTACTTAACACTCAGCTGGGTGGAGAATAGGGAATCCACAACCCAGTCTCAGACAGGGCTTTCCCAGCAGGAGAAGAGTGTGAGAACAAGCATGTCAGTGTGACCAAGGTGGGAACTATGTGTGAAAATAAACACCCAAGTGCGAGTTGGCTCTAGGGAGGAGCAGAGAAGAATGCCTGGTGGTGGTGGGGGAACAGGCCTCCTGCTTTCTCCCCAACTGCATGAAAGTAAGGAATGAATGCTAGCCGTGGCCTGGGAAAGGGAAACACTCACCTCGAGAATATACTTCATGGCAGGAGTTTAGCCTAAAATGTCTCCATCCAGCCCAGTCACTGCAGAGGACAGGGACACTGGCCAGGAGAACAGAAGCAAGACAACGGACACTGAATAATCAGATGGTTTGAATCATTCCACAGAAAAGAATTGCCAGTCACTACTTAAAATACGGAGAAAGAAGTTGGTCCAGAGTGGATGTTTTCTTTTGTCCAATCCTTGTCCAAGGCAAGGCTGGCCTATCAGTTAATTTAAAATATCCCATCCAAAATCAATCAACCAATCAATCAATCTCATCAGGGGGGCACTGTTGAAAGGTTTAATGTGCATTACTTCATCCTGAGGCAGGTACACTTTGATCTTATTTCACAAGAGTTGCTGGCCAAGAGGAGAATTCCTAAATTCTGCCTTCTCTTCCCTGTCCAGCTGGATGCCAGCTCCTCCAGGAAGCCTCCTGCCTCTGTCCACCAAGCAGGTTCAACGCCTTTCTGCCCCTGGCTCTGTCAACTCATGCTCCAAGGAATTGGGTCCCTAGCTCCCAATACACAGAAAGTACACACACACCCCTACTAAACAAAAGGGGTGGGTTTCCCTGGGACTCCAGCCCAACAACTCCTGTCTCTTGTTTCCCTTTTCTTGGGGAGGGGATTACTGATTCTCAACTGATCAACTGCTATAAAACATGGCTCACTTATTCAAGTTTACTTGCAAGAGGCTGCTTGGGTGTGACTGCAAGTTATCAGACCAAAATTAATTTTTCTTGGATTCCGAGTATGGCTAACAGAGGCTGTGGTGGGTAAAAGAAAGCAGAGAATGGTAGAGGCTGAAACACACAGGCACAAAGAAAGAGCTCAACCTTTTGGGAACCCACCAAGAGGGGTGCATATGAAGAGTATTTGTGCTGAAGGGCTGTTGTGTGCAGCCCCCCGCCCCCAGTTGGCTTTGTTACCCTGGCAGCCAGCAGCAGGACAGTGGTTTATGCGTGTGGGAAGTCAGCAGTGGCCAGAGTGGTCACTTACTGCCATTTACAGCCTTTCCAGCCTCCCCAACTTCAGAACTCTCTTTTAACATCTTTGATCTCACCAGGAGCTTGCAGGAAAGGGGCAGTTTGTTCCCAAATCCTCACCCAAGACCAGGTTTGGCTACTATACCCACAGTCAGCTAATTTTACCCACAGGAGCCACAAAGCGTTTTCTTTAAACCCCTGCAAAATGGTGGTAAAAGAAGGGTGATGGAGCAGGACAAAGAGGGGCAGAGGCCTTCTGTGCCTTCTCTGTGCTAAGAGCTGAAGGGCGGCCTCAGCAGCACCTTCTCATTAATTCTACAGTACAGTGCTTATGTCAGAGCTCAAGAGACAGTGGCTCCAGGTGCTCCATCAAGCAAAGGGCCTGGGGCTCAGAGCTTCCAGTTGCAGCACCAGGACCCAAGCCCACCTCTGCCTGGCTCACTCTGTGGCACATGCTCCTCATGGACTGAAACACAGTGCCAAGTGTTCCTAGTGGGGTGACTGGGAAGCAGAATAAAATTCTCAGAATGTCTGTGTCATGACCTTGGGGGGGCTCCTGGAAATGTGAGGTTCTTTCATTCTTTGACTCTTCTCATTAGTTTTATGTAGATACACGAGCCAAATGGAAACCAGCACACACATGGGGCTGACAGGCACTCCTAACCTCACAGTACTCGCAAGACAGATTAGCCACCAAAGGGTGAGTATCCACTTCTCCCAGGGGATGGAACACTAGGGTGCAGGGCGAGGGAGTGGAAGGGAAAGAGAGAGGGAGAAAACATACACACACCTGAGAAAACCAGAGGAACATGGCACCTACCATTGTGATGCACATAGGGCTTTCAAAAACTAAAAGGTCAAAGTCTAACCTGACTTTTCGCAAAATTAAAATAGTGCTTCTTTAACATCTCAACCCTGACAGATCAAGAAATCAGAGGGAAAATGAACAGATTCACTACACTGAAAATTGAAAAGACTTTCTGTGGAAAAGCCGCCAGGCCTCTCCCACTCTGTGGGCAAAACTAGGGTGGTGACTGGGCAAAAGCGACTAGCCTTTGCCTAACAATCAGAACTGCCCAGTAAAGGAGTGAGCCTTCTCAGGAGGGGGCAGCTTCCTGTCTCTGGATGGCCATCTGCTTGGGACATCAAGATGCAGAATCCACATGAGGCAGAGTGGATGAGATGGCCTCTAGGGGATCTTTCTGTCTCAGGATCCGATGACAAATTCATTCAACACAGATTTCCTGAAACCTACCCAGGTAGAGCATTGTGTAAGCTGCTGGGAACAACCCATCACCCCCGAGTAGTTCCCACCACGGTGCACAAGTTGAACACATGTATAGCATCTAACAGTGCCCAGCAATAAGTACCAAACAAAAAAGTGATGAGAGGTAAAGAAAAGGCTGGGGGCTCACAGGTGGGGTTAAACTGACCTTGAAGGATGGGCTAAAGGGAGATTTACAGTTTAGAGGAGCAGTTAGTAGGGGATAAACAAGGCATGTTCTGGCAGGGAGGACATAAAGACAGTCAGTCTGAGTGGTCTGAAAACAGGCTGTGAAATGCCTTGAATACCAGAGTAAATTTAAA